AACAGGAAGAGGATGTTTTGGTAAGTATCTACTGTAGACAACCAAGCCAGAGGTAGGTGAGGCTGTTTTTAGGTAATCAACTGAAATGCAGAAATCACAAGACTAGTACTGATGGGAACATTACCTTCCATGATATGAGCTGGGAAGGTAATAGAGCAGTGCACAGACAGGCTAGCAAATTCTTAAGTTGTTAGGGACAATTATTGGTAGAGAGTGTGGAGAAACCAATGCAGGGGGGTAGGCTGTTCTCAATTTGACTCTTAAATCATACTGAGGAATTGGTTGAGAATCTGAAGGTGCAAGGAAAATAAGGTCACAGTGATCATTAAATGACAGAGTTTGTGATCCCAAGGAAAGGAAGAAAGAATAGTAGAATAAAAACATTGGACTTGAGTAAAAAAACAAGGCTGAGTACAGAGTAAGAGCATGTAGGGATAAAATCCAAAAGGTTAAGGCTTAAATTGAAATACAGCTAGCCAGGGATATAAAAATAACAGAAAGTAATAAGTCTATTAGAAATAAGAGGAAGGCCAAGGAAAGTGTAGGTTCCTTACTGAATGGGAAGGGGAAGCTAATAATGGGTGTTGTAGAGAATGCTGAAGTGTTTAATGCTTTTTTTACTTTAGCCTTCACAAAAAGGGTCAATTATGAGGTGATGAACACAATTACTATCAAGGATGGAGAGACAGGTACTTGGCCTAGAGTAGGAAAAGAGCAAGTTCCTTAGATAAGCTTTTTTTTTTTCACACCAGCAAAGCCTGAGGAGTTCCTCCTCAGACTCCTCCTAGAGTTCTTCACAAATTGGCTAAAATTATCAGTAGAGCCACTGGATATTTTCTATAGGATCTTACCTGAACTATATGAGTTCTAAGTCTGAAAAACATCAAATACAGTGCCACTTTAAAAAAAAAAAGGAAAATGAAAACTCAGAGAATTAAAGAATCAATTAGTCAAACTTCAGTATCTTCATTAATGATTTGGAGCAGGGGACTGAGTGCATATTTAGTAAAAATCTGCGGATGATATCAAGCTGTGTGGGGCAGCTACTCTTCAGAAGACTGAATAAAATTTTAACCCAACGTTGATACACTGATAAAATGATCTGAAATGAAAAGGACGAAATGTGATAAGAAGTGCAATGTGTTACACCAAGGAAAACGCACATGAACAAATACAAACTGGAGAATGACTGACTAGGTTGCAATATTGCAGAAAAGGACCTCGGGGTTATCCATTATCTGTGGGATTTTGCTTGACTGACTGGTTGGTTTGGTTTGACTTTAGACTCAGGGTTACAGTGTACCAGAACCTGGATATAAACCAACAACTTAATATTGCAAAAAGATAATATTAAGCAGGAATACACTAACAGATGTCTTGCATGTAAGTCATAAAAAGTGATTCTTCTGTTCACCCCTGGTGGGGCTTTACTTAGGGTACTCTTTACAGTTTGGGCACCACATCTCAAGAAAGATGTGAATAAATTGGAAAGCCCAGAAGAGAGCAAGAAAAATTATTAGAGGCTTTGAAAACATGACATATGACGTTGGAACAATTATAATTACTAAAATGGAAGAAACAAGATTGAAGGGGGATTTGATGAGACTTCAAATACAAAAAAAAGTTATAGAAAGGATGGCAATCAATTATTTTCTGTGCCAACAGAAAACAAGACAAGAAGCAATGGCCTTAAATTGCAGCAGGAGAGATTTAGGTTACATAATAGGAAGAACTTTCCACCTATGAGCATGGGTAAGTACTGGAACTGATTACCTAGACAGATCGTGGAATCCTCATTAATCAAAGTTTTTACGTGCAAGTTAAAAAAGTGTTCTTCTGGGATGTTTTGGACAGGGGTGATTCTACCTGAAGCAGGGCTTTGGACTTCACAACCTCCTGAGGTCTGTTTCAGTCTTGTTTTTATGATTTTGTACAATTCAAATTGAACATTTCAGGTTCTAAATAACTCTGTTCCTTTAAGAAAAAAACTGGGTATAGCTCTATAGAAACTACTTCTCAATTCACAGCAGCAATTGAAAACTAAAATGTTACCACATGTCAAGAATGGTATATATTAGTATGTAAGTTACAACAGTACTTACTCTAAATAGAAACTCCTGCAAGAACACAGAATCTGCCTCAAAAAGCTGATAATTTAATGGGACTAAAATCAAACCAAACCAACTAGCCATCCAAACCAAATCAACCCCACAAACAATGGATAAGGGAAGAGATAAAATAGACAATTGACACACTTGTTTGATATGTGTTACCTCCATTATAAACTTCTGCATGTAGTGTGTGCGTGTGTGTTTAAATAATATGCTGATCTTAAAGCATATCATGCTAAAGATAATAAAAGTTGTCAGTCATACTTGAATGAAAAGGACGGGCCTAGTGATTTGGCTTAAAAACAGTATTTCACATACCTGGGATAAACAAAGAAGGAAGGAACAGAATTTTAGTCACGATAAAAATTAACAGTCCTATGGCAATTGAAGACTGAGTTGCTTAATATAATAAGGAGAGAAGGGTTATGATGACAGAAATGTACAGAATAACTAATGATAAGAGGAAATCAATCTAGCACTCCTATTTTTCTTAGCAGGCTAAGAGAAAAGGAACATAATAAAAAATGAAAGTCAAAAAAGTTACAACTACTATTTCTTCAAATAAGAAATGCCCAATCAGCAGTAGTTATTGACAAAAGATATCAAGAGCATAGCGGGAAGGGCTACCAATTAGGATTTATTTAATAATAACAAAAGAAAAGCATAAACCATCACTCTTCAGGGCATAAAGCTTAGCCACAGATTAACAAAATAATAAGAAAAAATTACCTTATTCACAATTTATTTTATTAATGTCCGTTATTAGTATATTGATTAATAGCCTCCAGACACCTTGATCGAGGCTGGACCAGACAGCGTAATGTGATACAATATACGAAATTCTTTGAGACGTGATACCAGCAACTGACTAGACTTGTTGGTGTATGGTTTGTTAGATATAGTAACTCCTGTGTTCTTTGTCTAAGGCTTGGACTGGAGTGTCCCACCTAATAAATATGTCGGTGCTCTGGGTACTGTTTGCCCAAAGCACAAGAAAAACATCGAGTCCAAATGAGAGACTAGACTGAAAGCTTAGAGATGAGACATACAATAACATCAAAGCTGACCTGTATTAGGCCACTACTGAAGTGCTCAATTTAAAAATCAGCTGCAGTACACATTTCTAATCGAGAGGTAAGTTGTCCAAGATCATCAGTCTGGTATTCACACTATGAAGACACATTTAGTTTACATTTATGGTGATAAAAAGGATAACAACAATGATGCTTTTAAGTTTTTTTGGAGAATACATTCTCCAATCAAACCTATTAGTACCACCACAAACATAAAACATCTTTTGTATTCAGGGCAACAAAAATTGTCTGCTTTGCTTGACTGATGAAGATTAGCTGACTTCTTCCATTAAAGAAGTTTGTCTTGTATGGGCTGAAGTGACAAGACAATAACTAAGTGCTAATTGTGCATAACCAACACTAAAGATATGCAGCCCCATTATGGCATGTAATAAATGAAGCGGACAACAGAAATATATTAGGCACTTTAATAATGATCCCAGAATAGTGGTTCACAGCAATAGGGATAGGGAAGGTTTAAGAATCTGAACTTAGGAGCGTGTGTGTCTTACTTGAGTGGTTCAACTGGTTGAGTAGCCTTTAGTTTGAATACAGCCTTTTAGTTCTGTGGTGAGACAAAATTGATATAGGACTTGTAAATAGCATTCTAACCTATAATTACTTTGTGTTATTATATAGTTTAAGCAATGGTTATTATTTGTTTGATATTTTAATTTTGCATGAAACGTGATGAAAAAGGTCAATTTAGCTTTTTTTAGAGTGCGATTGTAGCATGCTATATTTTAGCAGCTATTTATTTAATGTTGCTCTAAAAATGCTTGCTTTTCTATTTTAATAATTACAGTAGTATAGGATGATACAATATAGGATGAGGTAAGCTAGCATGATTTATTTAAGACCAGATTTACCTTTGTTGAATACTGTTTTAGAATATGGTAAATTCTTGTTATTACCCCCCAAAAAGCTTTTACCTTCAGTGTTTTTTTTATACTAAATGTAAAAGAAATGCAAGCTCTAAATCATAGTGCTAAAGCATCAAGCAATGTAAGATGTGCAACAAATAGTACATGTGAATTAAATCTTTAATTTCCAAGGGTGATAATTCTGGCCCAGAAGAAATCAATGACAAAACAAACTTCTTCCATAAGCACAGGATTCCACACCAAGGAAATAGATTAAGATTTTTAAAAAGAACCAAAGCCATGCAATTCAATTCACAAGGTTTAGAAATATGGCTTGGGATTCCAACACTGATACATAACAACAGAGAGCAGCATGTTAGCCTGAAGTTTGGCAGAAGGTAGGACACGCTGGCACCTTACAGACTATAGACTAACCTGTTCAGAGAAGCTGTTGTATGCTTAGCCCGTGAAAGCTCATGCCTCTTTGAATGAATTAGTATACAAAGAATAGTGGTGTACACATAAATATAGTGTCCCAGTAATTCAAATGATGATAGGAACACTAACAGAAAGAAATAGATTGTAGTTTAAAGTAAATTTAATTGACAAAGCCGAGGAATTTAAATAAAATGGATGCAATAATGATAAATGATAGAGCCAAGGATCTTGGAGTACTTTATAAATATTAATTAATTAAGCTTGATGGACAGCCTTGAGAAGGAGGAGAAGTATCATTATTCTTGTTTATTGATGAGGGGATTGAGGCACAAAAAGTTCAAGTGACTTGGCCAAGGTCACACAGGTGCCCATGGCAATGGTAAAGAAAGAATTCAGGTTTGATTTCCAGTCTTGTGTTTCAAGAGCAAGACAATGATTCCTTTCCTGTTTATATATACACATAAATACACATTTTAGTTCATAGCCTATGGAATAAAACCAGGGAGCCCTCTTACCTCTGGTTACAAAGCTGACATGCAAAACAGTCCAGATGGTAAACATTGTCCTTGGCTCTCATCACCATCTCAAAAGCAGGTATGAGCTTACTGCAGGCAGCACAGTTTCCTGTAACGCCAAATAACCTGAAGACACACAAAGGAGAGAGATTCCAGGAAATGGTTAACGGACAAGAAAATAAATCACCCTTATACTTATGTTCTTCGGCTTTATAAAAAATGTGCGACTGTCATTCAACTTCCCAGCAAACCTTGCTTTGGAAAGGCTGATGTTCAGCAGTGCACGAGTGTTCATGTAACAATTCCATTTGAAGCCATTTGCTGATAAAATGCTATAGCACTGGAAAGCTTTATAAAACAGTAGCAGAATAATATTGTACCTTGTGAAGTAATTTATATGCTGGTTATATACAAAAATATTCTTCTTTGGTACATATTCAGTTGACCTTTCTTAATGAAAGAAACATCTTGTTCAAGCAAACAAGGAAATGGCAAATACATTAGGAATGTTACATAACCATAAGCAAGCAGAGGTCAACCAGTCTGAATACGTAGTAAGAGCCTTCTACTTGGACTGTACTGTAAATACGAGAGCCACATAACCTTGGCCTCAATGCTATTTATTATTAAAACACATTTTAGCTAGAAAGAAATAACACTTGAAAAAGGCAATATTCTTCGCATTTTTGACATCTAGTGCTAAAAGCTTTACCATTATTATTAAGAGAACATTTTATGAACAAGTCATTTAAATCGTCAGAAAGCATTAGCGGTTCATGCACCTTACAACCCTTTACCATAGTTATAGCTATGATTATGTTATTCAGGTAGCACATTAAAGTAAATGAGGCTGTAAACTATATATAGCCACATCAGGAGTGGAGATATAATATGCTGTAAGAACAATTTGAAATGGCATTTTTACCAGACTAATATATTAAAAAAAAACTTTTAAAGAATTCTCTTTGTTAAAGATTTCTTGATACTTTTCAAGCAAACACATTACAAACAACTACACATATGCATGCTTTTGTAACATAGGAGGATTATAATGAACAAGAAAAAATACTTTCGCTAGACATACCAGCAATCTTTGAAACTAAGTTTGTTTAAACTACTTAATAGTTGTGAGGGATTATTAAAAGTAATGCTCTGTCTGTGCTTAGCAGTTAATGCTGTTTTTAGCTATGAAACAAACTAGATGAAAACGCCACATCTGCCAGTTTTCTTTTTTCCTCAACATCAGGCTGACAGCAGAAAAATATAATGGCTCTCAAGGGAAACACCAAATTAAAAGCAGTTCTAAACTAATGAATTCAAAGGTGTTCTGTAGAAAATTCAGTTTGGTAACATAAAAATGAATGCACTTTTTTAATCACATCCCTCCATTTTACTGAATTTCACAAGTTACCAACAAGTCTACTTAATTTCAATTCTTTTTCTCTTCTGCTTCCACTTACAATGTACTTTTTGCATAATACATGCATGTTTATTTTTAAAGTTCTGAACCATTTCCTACTGACTGTCTGATGTGTTGGTTACCACAATTATTTGAAGGAGCTTTTTGAGTCAAGGAATATCAAGTCTTTTTTCATTCTTCTCTTGTTATCTTATTCAAACCCACTGCAACTTCATTTCTATAAATTGCCAACACTTCAAGTTATATGCATGTATCCAGTTCTTTTAATCCACATTCCTTTCCAAACACACTATTCTAGTTCTAGGGCTCATGATAGCACTAACTTCCTAGGTGGGGTTTCTCTCTCAAAACTCACTACTGTAGCTGTAAAACAGGCATAATATTTCCCTACCTCCCAGAGGTATTGTGCGTTTTTAACCTATGTGAAGACTGCTTGAAATCTTTTGACCAAGGGCCCTATTCTGCCTCCCTAACACATTTACTAAGAAATCATGGAGAAGTAAGGGACGCGGGACATGAAAATTATGCTGCAAAAGGTGCTAGGTAAGGGCCGGAAGTATAAAGTACTGTTATAGTGAACTCCGTGTTAGTAGAAACATGCTTGCTTTAAAGATGCAAACAGCAAAGCACTGAAGCTCACACTTAACTTGAAGTGCTTAAGTTGTCCAATCACCTGCAAGGCCATTTCCTTGCTACCACTCAAGTATTCAGTGAGACTGTTTGTGTGTTAAAAGTTAAGTTTGAGCTTCCACACTTCGATGGATGGGCTGTAATGTGCACACACTGTTGCCCTTTCTTGTAAAGCCTTTTCCTATCTATTGTTTTGTGTAAGTGGAGATTCACTGTCATTCGACTTGAAGTTTTCACACTGCAGACCAATGGAACAACTTGGGACTGCCGTTCTGTGTTCCTACAAACAGAGACTTGCTGTAACAGATGCGTAGATGTGGGTTTTCTTGTGCAAGAGGTCCTCATAGAACTGAAGCACCAGACCTATTTAAAAATTTCAACTCTGTAAAGGAAAAGGAAGCCTCCTTTGCAGTTTTTTCTCCCACATACAAACAAATAAACAAAGACCTTTGAGATTTATACAAGCTATTGTTAATCTTGGATAGAGCTGTTTATATGAAGAACATAGTTTTCTCCCATTAATAATAATAATAAAAACCCACAATGCCATTTTGAGATTCTGGACGTAGTTTCCCCCAATTTCAATTGCTCTCGCTCCCTGAGCATTTATCAGCTACCTGATTAGAATTTGTTTCCACACAAACCATTGATCATCAGCCTATTACTAGGCAAATGACAGTTAATTACCCACTACATTAACCACTGGGACCTGAGACCTGCTTCTGCTGCCATCAGTCAACATGATAAATGTGGCAAGTTCAGTAATGCATGGCCAGCCCTGAGCTGCCTGCTATAGTGTGAACAACCCTCAATCTCACTTCCAGGCCCAGGAAAATCTATGGCAATCTGCATAATTACAAGCTCTGGGTTAATAACAGACAAATGATTTGTTGCATCTAAACAAAGTCCTTGGAATGGGCCTGGTCTCCTGTGGCTGCCCAGGCTGCTGTTCTGCCACTGGTGTACTTTCTAGGACAATGTGCACAAAACAGATCTCTGATGCTATATCCTTCCAATTTGTTGCCCTCCAATTTATGGATTCTGCATATGTGATTTTTAATCATTAAAGAACTCTTGAAGCAATATTATCTTAATTATTCTCTGCTGTAAGCAGGGAATTAGGCTTCAGATAAAATTTTCTTCTTCTGCGCACTTTCCCTGCCTCACTGGAGGCTCCATCAGTTTTCATCTACACCTGGACTCTGAAATCCTAATGATGAATTATTGCCCCTTTTCCTAAGAGGGTGAACCTTACAAGGGAACATTTTACTGAACTGTCAGCTCACAGACTGAGTGCGGAGATGCGGAAATCTGATCTAATTTACTGCAAAACGATGCATTTGTTAGACTTTCTCTTCAGTTCTGTCCAAGGATCAAGAGATCAGTCAACATATACTTCAACCAGCTTCATATACTTCTTTGCCAGATGGCATGGACCTGACTCTTAAAAAAAAAACAACACTATATGGTTTAAACTGCCAGACACTGGATGTTGAAAAGCAAAAAGGGTTAATTAATTCATTAAGAGTTTTCTATTAAAAAGAATTGATAATTTTCAGACAGACTAGTTGGAACTGATACAAACAGAGATGGATTCTCACTACTGCTTCTGTTTACCCTGAGAGTGCCATTTATATAATCTCTTTTGACAAACGATTTATATATCACATTCTCATTATATCCATGTAACTGGACGCTTTAAGGCTCTGCCCTCTCTCCTATACTAACACAAGGTTAGAATCCCTTGACTGTCCCTAGGGGACCTGATATTGGTCGTTACTGATTTGTCCTATGGATAAGGACTACAGAATTTATTAGGAATGGATATAACCTTTGTCTAGAAAGTTTGAACCATCCTCTGACATGCGTTTTAAACTGTATTTTAAGAAATTAAGTATAAATGCTGACTGCAAAGAAATACATTCATTTTACCACATTTGATGGATGCATACCATTCTGGACATATGCAAAAATCTCAAAACAAAACAAGAACTCCAAAGCAAAGCCAGATATCAACATAAGGGACAACATATCCATGAGTTGCAGTAGCAATCTACTTGGTAGGTTTCCTAAATAGAAACCCGAATGTTACGCAGCGACAGGAGAGAGAAAAAAGAAAGAGGTAACAGATACCGAGAGAGGGAGAAAAGGGCTAAGTGGCAGATACAAACGTAGAGAACCGATGCAGCTGAATTAGATTCTCGGTGAGGACATAGTGGTGGTGGTGGTGGGGAGGTAAGTGGCAGCAGTGCATGAATTAGGCAATTGTTGCTCTGCTCCTGCTTGCCACACCCTGAAGATATCAGCCCTTCCGGAAGCCCCATTAACCAAACAACACAGCTCCATGGGCAGGATCCAGCCAGCAGGCCATATGGTTGCTATTTCTGTATGGTAGCCATTTTATGCTGGTATGAATTATTTTGAGCAGTGTTGCATACATATCAACATGGCATAACAAAGATGGATTTAGGTTATAATTTGCTAATTGTATGGGACTTTCATACAAATAAAAAACTTAACACAACATATCATCAATACTTCTATGAGTTTTTTCTTTTAGCTACTTCTGCTTTATGGTTGCCTTCTATAGAACCCACTATTATACCTACCTATGACACTGTTGCTGCTTATTGGTTTCTTAAATTTGAAAGAGGTATCAATTTGGGTGGCTCTTTAGATTTTAATTTTGTATAAAAAGTAGGAATTAGGTGCATGTATTCAAAGAAAAGGTTAAAACTGATGTTTTGAGGTAAGATTTAGCAGTCTTTAAAAAGAATTTTGCTCCAGTGTGGGAACTGCACTGAATTTTACTAGATTTCTAACTAAACTACATATCAACTGTTCTGCATCAACACAAAATAAACTCCTTGGTTTGTAAAGCGAAGCACGGCTTATGGTATTAGAGCACTACAGGGAGGCAGACTTTGAGGTCTAAACTTGGCTCCACCGCCAACTCACTGAATGACCTTGGGTAACTCACTTAACCCCTGTCTCAATTTATCCATTTGTTAAGTGGATAATCTTCCCATCAGAATATCCCTGTCAAGTAGTTCATGTCTGTACAAGAATTTCAGAG